ATAACGTCCCAATACCCAGGACTGAAAATTATACTTGCCTTGGTGTCAACATTGACGAAAAATTGACCTGGGAAAAACATATTGATATGATATGTTCAAAAGTCAGTGCGGGAATCGGTGCTATAAGACGTATTAGGCCCTTCGTATCGTCTGCGACACTAAAATTGATGTACAATGCTATTGTGCAGCCCTACTTTGATTACTGCAGCCCTCTCTGGGACAACTGTGGAATAGGCCTCAAGGACCGGTTGCAGAAATTTCAAAATCGGGCTGCAAGAGTAATTTCTAGTGCGACTTACGATGTTCGGTCGGTTGATTTACTTGAAAGCCTGGGTTGGAAACACCTAGAACTAAGGCGAACTTATCTAAAATCTGTTTTCATGTATAAAATTCTGAATAACCACACCGCACCAAATCTAAGAATATCCTTTCGATTGAATAATGAATGTGATAATACCTATGATCTTAGAAATAGAGAAACCGATTTGTCTCTTCCTAAACCGAATACCGATTCTGGTAAAAGATGCTTCAAATATAACGGAGCGGTAGTATGGAATAATTTACCGTATGAGGTAAAAGTAGCGGGATCTTTAAGTTCTTTTCAAAGAACTATTAATCAGGCAAACACTTAAAATTGGCTCGTCCTGTTACCTACTGTATATGTAATTCTTCTTTCTTTGCTTTTGTATTTTTAATGTTTACCTGTACTGTATATTTGTCCAAATCACGCCCCTCATGGAAATCAGCCCCGAGTTGTTGAGGCCAGCGTGCCTAAATAAATTCTTGTATGTATGTATGTATATACGTATACGTATACGTATACGTATACGTATACGTATACGTATACGTATACGTATACTTGCTCTCACCAAGGCATGTGGTACAACACGGTGACTCAACGCATCCAGACATGCGCAGAGCGTAATGGGGCCAGAGTGCTCAAACGACCACAACGGAAGTGAGCTTTGCATTATCGCTAATAGACACCCATTAACAACTCCGCAGAGTGCTCAACAACACCGAAGTGAAGGAGCGTAATAGTACAATCTGCAGACATGCATGTTATATATTTGTGGCATCTCACTCGAATGAATAATATTTGATGGGTATTGTAGATGGTGGGACAACTGGCCTTTGTATTACAGTTGGTTAGAGGGCTACACTGGAATCGCATGGTCGCAGGTTCAATTTCAGCCAGTGACCTAAATTTGCATTTTTTGCTTCTGTTCCCGGTTAGGTCTAATAAATGTATAGGCCTATTAAATTTCCACTCGACAATTTCCAGCTACAATACCCATCAAGCAGTAAGTATATGCGGGAATCAGCGGAAATAACCTGACAAAAAGTGGTAGTGAAAAAGTAAATAATACTTCATCTGTGATTTGCTGAAACCCAAAACGAAGTGTTCCAGTTTGCTGTATGTTGCATGTTGCATATTATGAACATGTTTCTGCTGTACATATTTTAAATATATGGTGTTAATGCGATCCTCAATTTTGCAGGAGAATTATGGGTAATGCATATCGTGGTATCACAGTGGAACCTGTTTTGGTGTTATATATCACTGCACTGTTACTGCAGTTACCTGTCTATCAACATTATGTTTATCATCGAGCACAGCTTGACTTGCTGGGAAATAACCAATCTGATCTTTCATATCAAAGTCATTGCAATGCAAATTCCAGTAAATTAGATGAGTAAGTATATTCACTGCACGAAAGCCCCACCCTAGCTAGACACATGAGTATACTTTGTATGTTTTCTACCATTAAGACTAAGTTACTTTACACTACATACACTGGTGAGCATTCCGTGATGGCGCGAAAAAGCGCGTATCCGCTACGGAATGCATAACGTTCAGAAGCCGAGCAGAACGATATGTCTCCTTTCCAATAATTCCTTATATATATAGAAAGTACTTATATATATAGAAATTTGAACTTGAATTGACATTCAATAAGACTTTAGGAACACATAATTTTTACTCAATTAATTTTAGCTTTTCATGTACATACACTTGTTTTATCAATTATGTAATGCGCAGGTGAGCATCTCCCTATGGAACCTCGCGCAATATAAATTTAAGTAATAATAAATAATAATAATAATTTTTACGTACCTACGGCTACAGAAAGCTATCTTGCACAGAGCAGACGTAGTCTAGTTAAAGCCTGGATATCAAACGAATATGAGAGTGCATGAGAGTTGCAGTCGCGTGACCTTGGTTCAGGGCCGTAGCGACCAGGGGGCTGGGGCGTCAGCCCCCCCCCCCCCAATTATTTATAAACTAGCGATAATCTGTAAAGTTTGAGAGAGAAATAAAGACCTAATAATCGCCTCTGACTAATCAGCTCCCCCCCCCCTCCATACAAAATTGCCTCTTTCGGACCGTTCCGATAGTGTGGTTAGCTGTTGCTAATGCTTTCCCTTGAAATGTCCCCTGTAATAAGTCATCACTGCCATATCTCTCATCAGCTCCCATGCGGTGCCAAAGTTTAGTTCGCACTTGAGTGAGCGATAAAGGTTTTCTTAATGAACAATACTTTGAAGCCATCATATTTTCTTAGTTAAACTTGAAAATAAAGTAGATATTTTGTTGTTCACCCCTCCAAAGGAAGACAGCTCGCGACGGCCCTGGGCACTGAAGCCATTTGTCCTGCTGTAATTGGCATAAAGTATGATTGGCGATGCACGAACGTTTATAAAAAAGTTATGTTACAAAATGAAGAACCGGAACTGTCCGTCTTAAAAGTGACCTAATGCTAATGAATAATGATTAATGGGTCTGCATGTTCCTGTCCCAAAGCTTTGATTGATCGATCGTCTGTTTCGTTCATATTTTCTGCGAAACATCATTTTTAAAGTTGACATATACCTTTTCTGTCATTTAGTGAAATCCAACGACGAGCGTCTAATTATATCCTAATAATTGGTATGGCAGGAACCTTCCCTGCCATATTTTCCTCGTTAATTTATGGTCCAGTGTCAGACAGGAAAGGAAGAATACCTATCATGAGGCTACCGCCTATTGGCGGTTTGATTGACGTCTCTATAACTCTTGCTACTATATATTTGGAGTTGCCTCTGTATATTATGGCTATTGGTAAGATAAGTATATTTTGTATGTTTGTTGATATAATAGCAGGGTTTTGAGGGCAATCTGAAAACAAAAGGTACAAGACTGAAACATTATTTTCCAGATGGACTCAAATAATCTGCTGGAAAATTGTTTTCTGAGCATCCCAACCGGTAATCGAACTCAAGGTTTCTGTTTTTTTACGCACCAGCGCTTTAATCACAGCGCTATTAAGACACTCAGAATTATTGTTGCTGGGGGTTTGCTACACCGGAAAATTATGAATTGTGTAAGTCCTCATTAGTGGCCATTTTCAGCATTTTCATGGCGAAATACGTGCAACGGAGCAACAAAAAATTCAAGTTTTGGAAGGAAAATTCCAACCATATGAAATTCTATGAATAAACCTATTTTAATTTCTGTCCTTCTCTCTTTTCGTTCGATACCCGTTTCCTAATTTTCTCCTTCAGGGTCTTTTTCTTCCCTCTAGCCTGACGATTTTCTACCCCTCCCCAGAGGGGGGAGCAAGTGGTAACTATATATATATACACCTCTGTCTGTCTTTGCGCTTGTTTTTGTCAAGGTCTAGCATTTTATAAATTTGCTGATTGTGTTTTATTGTCCACTAGAATTCAAGTAATATTGTTGAATAAAGAAAATTGTCAATTAAATTCATACACGATCCTGCCTTTTTTCCAAATTGCACAACCACGCTATCAAGTGATAGCCTTAGTAGGTGTAAACTTGGGGGAAAACTGACCATTTGAATAACTCACCATTTGAACAACTCTTGAGTTTCGCAACCTTTGTTTTGGTATGCATAAGCCATTGCGCACAGAAAAAGGTTTTATTTTTTAAATACAGTCTGTATACAGATTATTTCATGGGTGGTTGAGTGCGTACGAATTAAAAATCATTACCAGAAATTAGCGACAAAATGGCCACCGCCTGTATGCTAATTGCATATGAACCATACATAATGACCTTCAACTTTTAAGAAAATGCATACTTAGGGTAAAATTATACTGAATTAGTGCCCTTTTTTGACAATTAGTGCCCTTTTTTGACAAGTAGTGACCTTTTTTGACATCTGTAAATCTACCTTGGAATCTGACTTCTGATGCTCTCTCCGAGTATCTCTCTGAGTGACAATTCGTGTTCAGGATGATCGACTTTGTTGGGTTAAATTGTCGTGCAATATCGTTTTGAACGAAAGACTAGATCTTGGACAATATTGCTTGGTGTTTTACACGCCAATTCAATAACTACCCTGCAACTCAAAATATGTACAGGATATTTAATAGAGGCCCAAGCATGGACAAATGTACTAGCATGCAATCAATTGTTATTTTTTGGGCGCCCGTAGAGATATTTGATTTCAATATAAAGATACCATCAAAACATTCGAAAATGACTGCTTTTAAAAATTATTGATCGCGAGGTCGGCAAACAGCATTAACTCCCGAATTGCCATAATTTCAACTTAGATGTTTCTGCGCTGTGTATTATCTGTTATTATTATATGGCAAGCATCACTTCCGGTGAAATGGCGTATTGTGATTGGCTGAGAAGCACTTTTAGCGGTCCATATTTTCCCGTAATGGACTGGCGGTCCATTACGTATTAACAAACGCATGAATTTTAAAACAAAACAGCAAAACTAATAGAAAATTTGAAAATTATAATTTAGTTTGTTATTAATAAGATATCTGCGAATGGTGTTAAGTGGAAAAAAGACCTCGGTCCGATATTACTCTGTAAAGACCTCGCGCTCGGTTAATAAGAAGTTAAAAATGGAAGGTCATTGTATAGAGGTCATATGCGAACTGGCATACAAGCGGCGGCCATTTCCCATTTTGTTGCTAATTTCTGGTAATGATCGTACAATCCGCAATCCTGAGGCTTCGGTGGCGCAGGTTCGATTCTCGCTGATGGTAGGTTCGATTCTCGCTATGGACTCATGTGAAAAGAATCTGTCAACTCTCTGCCGAAAGTCGTGGGGTTTTTCCGGGTGCTTCGGTTTCCTCCTCCCAGGGTTGACAGGATTAGGTTAAACACAATTAATAATATCACAAAATAAAATAGTTTAGGCTAAGGCCATATAAAATAAATTCCTTGATTCTCATCGCTAAATTTTAAAAACTCCCTGCAGGAGGCGAGAGGTTTATAATTTATATTTTATGTCAGAATATAAAAAAGTTTAAAATTTAAAAAATTGGAGAGGGAGGTCTTTTTATATTTGCCCTTAAATATATTATAGAAGAACGCTATATAAGTGGATAATTGCACATGCGCTAATGAACATGCATAAGGGTCCACACAAATCGTTGTAATAAGGCTATAAGCCCATTTTTTCCTTCAGTATTCCAAGCATCCCTTAACATGTTGCTATATTAATGATAAAACAATTTTATATCGCAAAAATTCCAATATAAAATATAAAAATAACTAAATCTCTGAAGATGCTCGGTCGGGCGGTAAATTTATATTTTATAACAAAATACAAAAATATATCAACGCGGAAACCAAAATATCGTCGGGCGGTGATGAGAATCAAGGAATTTATTTTATATGGCCTAAGTATAAAATTTAGGTACGCGCACTTTGATTAAAATCCACATGGAAATTTGCGCTATAGAAATGGCAATCTTAACGAACCGCTCATTAATTTTTTTATGATAATATAATCGCTTTATTAGGCGAACAATGCAATAAAAACTCATCTCCGTGATTTCGCTAAAACCGGGCGCCGTGTTTACAATTTTATAATGCAAGTGTCAAAGCAAGACTGTGGGTCATGTGACACTAACTTAGGTTATAACTTTTGTTTCTGTACTTTGAAGAGTTACAATGATCCACGGCTGTGCGCTAGTCGGTTGAATAAAAGATTTTTGCCACCCAAAGTGGCGGATTATTTTTTATGCTACGTCATACTACAAGACCTGAATATTATTTCTTCCTTTTTATCAGGTTCAGCAATCAGCGGTCTTTCTGGACAATACACAACATTGATATTCACAGTAACTGCGTACGTCACAGACACTACATCTGATCCTGCCAAGCTATCACTTCGCTTTGCTCGTTTGGAAGCCATGGCATTGCTTGGTGGTACTATTGCACAGGCTACCAGTGGTCTTTGGGTCGAACACTTGGGTTACAAAGCACCTTATTGGTTTCTCTTCGCATGCCTGTTATGCACATTTTTATATGTCACGTTCAGCCTACCAGAATCCCATCAAAACTTACTAAACGACCACAAAGCTTGCTACAGTTGCAAGGATGTGAAATTGTTAGCTGGAGTGATCGTAAAACAGCGATACGATCGCGGTCGAGTAAAAATATTGCTTTTGTTATTAATCTCAGCCTTAACGTTGCTACCTGTGGGTGTCATCAATCAACTTGTTATTCTGTACGCGAAAGACTACCCGCTTTGCTGGCGAGCTGAATTGATTGGTTATTTTTTGGGGTGCATATTTTTCGGAAGAGCAGTTGGCGCTGTGGTGTGTATGAAGATCTTAAAGCGGTTTCATTGGCAAGATTATTCAGTTGTGCAACTGGGATGTGTCTTTATAATGGCTCTCTTGGTTATGATTGGCTTATCAACTACGACACTGGATATGTTTCTAGGTGGGTTTTAATTTAATATTATTAAGATATTATACATGTGCATAATGCCTGCTGGAAAATTAAGCAAAGGTGCATACAACAACTAACATTAATCGGTATTAAATCATCGCTGCTTTTAATTAACATCAAATTTTCGTCATCAAACCCAACTGGACGTATTCAGCTTGAACAATTTAAAGCTATTTCTACAGTTACTGGTGGACAGTTAAAAGAAAAGTCATGGACATGATCTCACAGTCATGGACATGATCTTTAGTCATCAGTTATTTTTATTGTAGTTAATTTTAATGGAGAAAATGCATGATGTCATGAAGGTCCATATGAATATAACTGGAACGCTTCCTTCAGACAAACTGATAAATCAGACCCTCGTGAGACCAGTTCAGGGAGCGAGCGTGTCATTTTAATAAGAAAAAAGCTAAAAGTGAAGTCTACTAGGCATTTATTATTAGCATGACAAAATTACTGCATGCTGATTGGTTGAGAGGAGTACAATTATTTCATTAATTGTACTGCAGTACAATTAATGATTTTCTCAAAACAAACAAAATGGCGGTATTTTGAACACAAATGTGAAATGAAATTGCCCTTGAGGAACTAGATGAAAATACGAACAAAAGCACCAAATTTTGCTTTAACAAAAGAACTAAATGAAAATACGAACAAAAGCACCAAATTTTGATTGAAAGTCTGGTAGGACTGGGCTTTGGCGAGAGAATATGATTAATAAGACATTGATAAGTATCCAATTTTGTCATGCTAATAATAAACAAGTAATCATGCGATGTTGCTCGTACAATTAGGGATTAATATAGTACTCGTGATGTTTGGAAATTTGCCAAATTGTACTCGCCCCGGTGGCTCGTCCACTTTTGGCAAGATTTCCAAGCATCACTCGTATTATTAATCCCTAATTGTACTCGCCATCGCATGATTATACCTATACTAAAAGAAAATTTTAAGCGCTGTTAAAAAGCTTTTTGTAAATTTTAAGCCGGTTGTAAAAAACGCATATTCATGCATGTTGGCGGATTGAGTTTACTCTTGGCATGCGTGAAAAGACTGGGGCTGGCCTTCAAGTTTGGCTTTAAATTTCCTGTTGGAGGTAGCGTTCCAGTTATTTCACTGTAAGGGACTGAGCCGAGTCAATTTATGGTCCATTATATACGTTTTTGTTTTGCGTGCTTTTTCATGCAGATATGTTGTGGGCACATTTTCAAACAATTTTTGTTGTCTCAGGCACACAACAAATTTACGGACTCCTGACGACCCCCGACCTCAGTACTAGTTTATGCGGAATGAACTTAGCCATTTATGCTCACCATTTCTTCGTCATTGTAATTGTATTCTTCTTATAAAGATGCAGTTCCAATGAAACAAATGTGAGTAAAAATATTAACAATGCATCGTTTCCAAGGGTGAACGTGAAATGTTAATTCATGTCTGCATGTAGTTTCTTTATTTCCCTAGTTTAATTAACAAAAGTGTCAGTTACAGTGTCGATCTCGATAATATTTAGACGAACATAGATTTTCCTATTCATAATATCAGTTACAGTTACAATTTATTTTATTTAGCCACAATACCTTGTCTAATGGCGGGTCTAGCTCAACCATGTATTCGAGCTTTGGCATCACACATTGTTGACCACAGCGAGCAAGGTAATTAATTAGTATTGATTGGCTAATAATATTCCATCCATTAGGCCAGCGAGGAAAAGCAGAAACATATTAGATTCCGGGTACCATATATTTTGAAATATTATAAACTGTCTTACTCAAATATTATAAACTCGTTGTACAGTCTTTCATAGTTTTGAACGAGATATTTCACTTCTCTTTTGAAGTATGAACATGTTTTTAACATTAGGTTGGCATAGAAAGTCGGGAACAAATTGCGAATCTATCCTTTTCAAACGCTTATCTTGCATGTACATGTACCGCCTTAAGCACTCAATAACCACGTGTAGGTTTAATTATTAAATATTAGACCTTATGCATAATGACGTCACAAGGCTTGATGCCCGCGAGGAATGCTGGTATTAGTAGTCATCGCCGGGGAAAATTTCGATAGTGGCCATTTTGAATTGTTTAATTTTCCCAGGCGATGACTACCAAGACCAGCATTCCTAGCGGGCATCAAGCCTTGTGACGTCATTGTGCGTAAGGTCTATTGGTCATTTGAGACGTGCGACATTGACTACCAGTGTCCCAGAAAAACTGAACACTGTTTGATTTCATGTAACGTAAACGCTATAAAAGCTATCGCAACGAAATAAAGATCATTGCGTTCAGAAAGGACTAACTTAGATTTTGATATATAGCACTTGAATGTGCATGCAATATTGATTGCGCTATTGATGTTTGAACGTCAATTGAACTACTCGTTTTGAAAATGCCAAAAATGAGCATAAAACAACCTTATAATTACCGATGTAGTTTTATAAAATAACATGTACATAACGCGTATTCTGATTGGTCGAAACCCGTGTTTGGATCAGGCCATCCAAACACGGAAGACTATCGTGTTGTTGTTATTTTATAAAACAATTACTTTATGGTTTCCGTGTTTGGATGGAATGATCCAAACACTTGGGAATGTTGCTCGAGTTAAGAAAAGCGGGCAAAATCACTCGCCTTCGGCTCGTGATTTCGCTCGCTTTTCTTAACCCTCGCAACATTCCCGCGTGTTTGGATCAGGCCATCCAAACACGGAAACCATAAAGTAATTGTATAATACTTGTTAAATAATAAATATTTTTATTTTGGTTGTATCTCGCTCAATATTGCATGTTAATTCAGGTGTTATATATCAAAATCTAAGTTACCTCTTTCTGAATGCAATTATCTTTATTTTATTGCGATAGCTTTTATAGCTTTTACGTTACATGAAATCAAACAGTGTCCAGTTTTGTTTTGGTGACACCCGGTATATATACAGGGTGTATAAAAAAAAGCGCAATCCTCGACTGAAATGTAAACTGCTAAACAAATAATAGACGAAAACGTTAAAGTTTACATTCATTTTAAAGCGTAGCCATTCAGCTTTCTAACAGTGGGTTGTTTCTTAAATTTGACTCATTGGTTCGCGCGTAATAATACTTTACGTTATTGCGATTGGAGATTAAAAAAATTGAGATATGGAATAACAAATCGTTCTCATGAAAATAACTGATTTTTTCATTAAAACAAAAAATGTTGCATTTCATTAAATGGATTGTAACAATAAGTATAATTACGGCTTTTCTTCCACTATTTTTAACTCAGTTTGAAACTTCAAATGCGATATAATTTTGGCTTGGACCATCTAAGCTGACTGACATCAACTTGCTATAATTTCTGTTTACATTACATCGCAATTCGATGACACTCTGGCTCAGACACCAGAATGTTTTGACGATTTTTAGCATTCGTTTAGGATTTTCAAACAACCTGGTCTCTTTTAAAATACTTTTAATTTGTTCTTACGTGGTTTTCCAGATGTAGTGACGACAACATTAAAGTTTAAAGAAGAAAATTCTAACATTTAAACCGACTAAACAATAACATAGTAAACTTGCATAATTAAACAGCAACTAAAAATGATAGGTTTTACTAAATCTTTTCCTGTGCAATTATTACTAGCATTGGAGACAAGGATAATAGTTTGTTTGAAAGAGAAAAGAACAGGCTTTGAAGTAAGCCTAAAAGCGTTTAACTAGAAATAGTATTTCGAAAGTTATTAAGCACAAAAGATGAATTGCGTTTATTTTGATACACCCTGTATATATATATCAGTTTGTGGTAATCTTCAACACATATCACAAGACTTTTAAAGTTTTTTGCTTCCTTGCGTGAGCGCTATAATGCAAAATTACGCGAAAATTAGCCGGTTATACCATTTTGACAGAAACGTCGCTTGCATTCTTAACTCGCTAATCCTATGCAACTTTCTTAATTATTTTCGTGTCCATGCAACAACATCCTACCGTCCGCCATATTGTTTTATAATTAGATTGAATTAAATGAGGTGAGAAAAAAGTAGACGTTATTAAACTCACAAATTATGAAGTTTGAACAATATCATCTATATTGTTTTTAGATATCTGTATGTAACCGGCTATATGTTAAAAGTCCGCAAAAGATATATCGAAGCTGGCTTTTCATTATATTTTGGGAACTTTTTAGTACATTTTCTCATAAGATTGTGACTACACCTGATGCGTCATAGCCAGACCTCTCAACTCTCACGCATTCGGCGTGAGTCTCACGCAATTCGCTTCACTCTCACGCTCTCACGCCACGTTTAGTAAATCTCACGCATATAGCAGTTTCATAGTATTTTTTCAATAAATAAATATAATATTGTATTCTTAAATGCACATTATTAATCATTATACGGATCGCGAATCGAATATATAATCGCGTGTTATTGTTCCTGCATATACGGACCGACATTTTGGCTTTTGCCCGCAATTTGGATACAAAATAGTACGCATATGTAAATACGGCGGACAAAAGGCCGCAGAATCAGTCAGGCAGAATTCTATATGTAAATTATCAAAGGCAAATTAAAGCTCATTAGACATTACTGTATGTCACAGAAATACAGTTATTGTAACTAAAGTGCTTTGTCTTAAAGGAAGTTATGAAGCAATGCCAATGACGTATTTCATTAAAAAACACCAACTCTCATAATCTACGAAATGCCATTTCAGACCCCCGGACTTTTAAAAAGGTGTCATCCACATCCCCAATCTCACTCTTAACTTCTCTGGAAAGTTGAGAGGTCTGCATAGCCTCAATCGAGCTCAGTGAAATGAATATAACTGGAAAGCTACCTTCAGATAAAGTCGCCAGAGTTCGGCCTGAAGCCAAAGCGTAAATACACGAAATTTAAGCTACTTAAAGTAGAATAAGTTAAATTAATATAATATAATACTGCTAAACTTTTGAAAAGGCGAGACTTTATCTTACAATAATTGCTGTAGGTATACTAGTATACAGGTAGGTGCTAATGCATGCAGATTGCAGGTATACATCAGTTTATTTCCGTAAATTGTCCCAAGAGAACCAGTCACTCCTAAGGCTAGGCACACTATCAATAAACAATTATTCCAAAAAAATAAGGAAAAGCTTAAAGTATAAAGTCTATATATACTGGAAAGTTTTACCTGAATAAATGCATTCATATATGTAAACATTTGTGTGCTGTTAAAAAGCCTTTTGTAAATTTTAAACAGACTTCACACAACACCGTTTAGATGTTCTTGCAGGTTTTTTATTGATGTAATTTATATTTGCCAAACGAAAAACTAATTTTTAACAGCCTCACTATCAGTGCGTTTTACACGCGTGCTTTAATGTTAGTTGAAAATTGTGATACTTTCGTTTTCTTATTTACAGGATCACTGTTTTCCATCATAGCTTCCATTGAAAGTCTTTGTAATTTTCTGGCAAACACAATCTTCAATCCTGTATACCAGACCTCATTGAACTATACTTGGCCACATGCCAATGGTCTCATTTTCTTCATA